ATAAATGTTTTAATATGTGTCGTCATTCGAGTCATATCACAAGTTCCATATTGCATTTAATGATAATTTAATACGAATTGCGATATTTATTTTTTCAATTGTATAATACTGCATTATTACATGCGCCGAAAACACTTTTAGAACCTTCAATATTAATTTGGTTTTAGGAAATGTGAAAGTTACTGTTTGGCAACTGTATCTGACGGTAACTGACTGTAATATTAATAATTTGTTGACTGTAATATTATTAATCATTTTTGATGCAAGCAAAATATTTGTAAATAAAATTAGATTCACAGTCTTCACTTTTACTTAACTTCCGTTTCTTAGCAATATCTATATGTGAGTCTTAACATAACAAACAAGAATTCGATTAACAATAATTAATTAAATTCCTGGTCGAGTGTTCAAAACCGGCTTTCGTCAAATCTTTTATTGTATCAATGATTTAGTATAATCAAATACTATTAAAGTTGTTGCGTTACGAACGAGACACCCTCTGTATGTGAATAGATAAATGATAATATATGATTATTTTGCCAATATGAAACGTGAAAGAAATGTGACAGCAGACATCAATCTTTTCCTTTACAAAAATAAATTTTTCTCCCTCTGCTAATTTTTTTTTTTGGTTTAGCTTGTATATGAATAGTCGTCGTCCTTATGTAAAAATGTAATATCCTTTATTAAAAAATAAAAAAAAAAGTCGATTTTCCTTTCTGTTTCGATGATTGTTTTTAATTTTCCTTTTTCTTTCCTTTGGATTTTTTAAGTATGTATATAAAAACTTTGTTTTGTCTGTGTTATAATCTATTTGTTTATTTCAAGAAAAAATTTTTTTCTTAATTTCTTGTATTTAACTTTTTTTTCATATGCTTTCTTCTCTTATTCGAATTTATTGGTCTATTCATATTAAGCATATATAGGGGAAGAATTTTAGGAATTCGCCTTAAAAAAAGTTTTTTGCAAAGGTTTTTGCATTTTTTTTATTTCAGTTTTTATTTTTATCAAACTTTTCATTTATTAAAAAACTGATAAAGACAAAGTTGGCTTGACCAATTCTTATGTACATACATACACAAGTATATACCTATTGGCGTTGAAAAATTTATAAGATTCCTAAAATCCTAACGAAATACTGAAACCAATATATACAACAATAGACTAGAGTATAAATAATAACTTACAGGTGACTGAAAGAATTGTGTGACAAACTTCGCCATAAATGTTTCCACAATGTTCTTTAAATTGATTATAAAATTTGAATGTGATAAGTATATTGTTTTATTTGAAAAAGAGGAGTCTTGAAAGTTTCTGAGAAATGTGAATGTGATCTATTTTAGGAAATTAGTCACTTTATGTGTTAATTTATAATTCTAATTAAACTTATTTTCAAAAGATTCCTGAGACTAGTATAAATTAGTTTAATTTTAAACAATGAATATGTAGATCTCGGCAATTTTTAATAGAATTGAGCAGTAAGAATAGAAATATTATAATTTTATGTACTTCTGATACTCCCAACATTACAAAAGAATCCAGTTTTTTATAATACCTTATTTTTATAAGTATACACGAATAAAATCGTACCAGTTTACGAATAAAAAAGATAAAGGGCTTAAGTTCTGTGATCCTTTAAAAAAAGTATAAGAATGAAACTTTTGTAATTCAAAAATTTTGATTTTAATTTTAATTTATGGAATTTATGGATTTATTGTAAAAGAAAAATCATTCATATATAAAGATTTATCGTTTATCATTCATTTCTTTTAATTTCTTCGATCCTTTTGAACATCAGAACAAAAAAAGAGGAAGAAAAGATCCTTGAGTGTCAAACAAAAAAAAAAATGAAATGTTTTCCAGTTATATGAAAGTTCCAAAATCGAAAACTTTGCTAACCATTTAATGTGCCAGTATGTAAAAAAAAATCTGTATTTCATCCTAACACAAATTCCAGTAAGAATTAAAAATAAAATCAGATCAAATTGATAACTTATGCTTGATTAATCGTTAAAAAGGCACAAAAAAAAATTTTTTTTTTTTATAAAAAAATATCAAAAGTTAAATCAAGTGGATTCTTTTAGAAAATCCAAAATTTTACAAAAAAAAAATTGTGTATGAATGCGCAAATATTTGAACGAGGGATGATCAAAAAACGAAAAATGAAAATTGTATATGAATCCGTTTTTAAGTTGTACTAGCAAAATACAGCCAAGTAGCAACAAATTTCGGCAAAACATAGAAATATGATACGAGTATTTATAATTTGAATTTTTCATTATAAATTTTTCTATCAGGTACAGTAGACAGACCCTGCGTCATTAAATGAATTCAATTTCATTAGAATTTGCATATTAGGCTAGACTGAATATTTGGAATTGTAACAAGGTAATAACAACTGAAACAAGGTAAAATATATATTTTAGAAATCAAAATAATGAAAAATTTTAATTTTGGGAAAATTGAGTTATGGCAACTTTCAACCCATATTATTTGATTTCCGCCCATATAGATGACTTATTCATACCTTATTTAATTCTGAATAGTGTGACTCTGGTTTTTGTAAAGAGTTGTATACTAAGGGAATTCCGGAAATAAATAAAATTACAAAATATAAATTACAAAGCTTTTGAGAAAAATTTATACATACGAACTGTGCTTAAAACGTATCGGTACTTTTCACTTAATATTTTCATTTCTAGCAGTATACACTTATTCCCCATAAGTTCTTTCACAAATTTAATCAAATTGCCAAAAAAGTAATCAAAAATTTTGAATCATGGCCATTTTATTAATACATTAAGCTACTTTTACTCTACAATCTACAATCGTTTGACATGCTATACAAATTAGTACATCAAGGCCAAATTTGCTAATCTATCACTCGTACAAAAAAAGAAATTCGCAATATTATCTTGACCTTAAAAAAAACTTCATAAATAAATGGCAATTTACTTTCAATATTCTTATGAAGTTTGCTTATACAATCAAGTTCTTTTTACTTATACGATAATATTTGAAAAGGCTACTTTTTAATCCGCTATAAAAAAAAAATTTAATACATTAAGTAAAGATTTTCCATTGTGTTCCCAAATAAATTTAAAGTGGCAATTTTTTTTTGTACTCAACTTCGGTCCCCATTTAATTTTACTCTTCTACATACAAAATTTTTTTTTTACTTTAAACACTCAATTTCTTAATGTCATGTCAATATTATTTCCATTTTGATGAATTTTTGGCATTTAAATAAAAGAGACAACAAAAAAAAAATAATAAACAAAAAATGTAAGAGAGAAAATTTAATATTATGTAAATAAATTTTCGGTAAGGTGAATGTTGTGTGTTATGACAGAAAAAACACCTTTTTCTGATAGTAGAGAATTTTAAGCAACAATAATAATAATAAGAGAGTTGAATAATCAAATTAATATGAAGTTTTCCTCTTCATCTCTTTTTTCCTCTCATTTTCGTTGTATTAGCGAATGTTAAAATTTTATCCTTGAAATATTCGTCTGATGTCTGACGACGATAGATATAGAAAGAAAAGAGTAAATACAATTATCGTGTAACAACTTTACTCCTCCTGTATGTGTACAACAAATATTTAACTTTTTAAAGAAGGTTACATGTACATGTTATACGTATATTTTCTGAATGATAAAATAAAAGTAAACTTTGAAGCTTCATACACATAATTTGTCTTTTTCATTTTATAAGTTTTCCTGATCTTTTTTTGACAAACTTTTTCTGATGAGCAAATTTACCTTTTTGCAAAAGGTAAAAACAAAAAAAAAACAGGATAATAATAAAATAAATATTTGGCACATAAATACTTTGTTATAAAAATTGAGGATTGTCTAAAAACTTAAATTTAGACTTTAGTTAATATGACAAATTATTTAAAAAAATTATTTACCCCTCTCTCTTAATATTAGAAGCTCCTTTTTGGAAGTTCACAATGCCAGTATGTCTTAAAGGAATCGATATATTGCTCCGCACAAATCTAGTTGCATGTAGTTCTCATTGTTAACATTCGTTTCAAATCTCAATTACTTAAGTTTAAGCTTCAAGTCTCAATTATTAAAGTTGAGCTAATTAGAATATAAAATAAAACAAATTCGGGTGAAACCAATGGTTTTAAAAGAAGCACTTTTAATTTTTTTAATTGACCCTTGAATTTATTTTTTTAATAAACAATTTACATACTAGTTATTAAGTTACACTTAAATTGTTGCATATATTTAGGATGAAAGAGAAAAGATTGAATGAAGCGTTAACACAATAGTCGAATGGATAAGTCGAATGGATTAAATGCATAAATTAATGTAATTATTTTTATTAATATGGAAATTTTGAAAGGCTTGCATTTTTGGAAATATAAAGCGTCAAAAATTCAAATTTTACAATTTCGAGGTTTCGTTACAATAATTAACCAAAAAATAGCACTTTTAAGACTTTGAATGTCTGCAACTTTTGAAGAAAAACATGAAAAAGGCCTGTAACCTTTGAAGTCTGAATATAGAAAAAAGTTTTGTTTACAAAAATAAGTACGATCAATTTGTATGTATAATAAAATATCTTTCTATTTCAGGCTGCGTTTAAAAGCTTTGTAAATAGACTAAAAGACAAAAGAACAGACAGATTTTAAAAACAAGCTTGCGAAATTAATACTGCATATTTTGGCAAGGAAATTTAAATGAACACTCGTTTTTCTACTTTCTCAGCAATACATTTGAAGAAATGTGCTTTCTTTTATACACAATTAATTATGTTTAACTTGTTTCATTCTCACACACTCAAATTATTACTTCGATAGTGAACTCTGTTTTTTCTATATTTTTCTTCAAAATTGATTTTTTTTTCCTTGGTCATTTATAATACATTAAGTCAACATAATTCTATTTTGAATATGCTTTCACATACATACACAGGCACTAATATAATATATAATGTAAATAGTATAATTTGTTTAACTTTTATGTATATTTAATATAAATTACCTTTTGGTCCGGGTTCACCAGGCGGTCCCATAGCACCTTTTTTAAACAAACAAAAAAAAAGTACAAAAAATAGGAATATTACAAAAGAGGAATATTTTTGTAAATAATTTGATGATACCTTTTGGTCCTTGTGCTCCAGGTAAACCATTAATTCCAGGCATTCCATTTGTACCATTTATTCCCGGAACACCATTTTTGCCTGGTATACCATCAGCACCAGCTCTGCCAGGAACTCTTAAATAAGCAAAGGATTAAAAAATATATTAATATTATAATTATTAAGCAGGCATTGTTTTTAAAAGATACAAATAGTGGGGCCACACAAAAAAATATTATGCTCTGCTAAGCAAGTTTTTCATAATTTAAATTTTAGTGGGGCAAAATTAATTAAATGAACTTCCGCTTGATTACGAAAACAATCTGAAGCATGTTTAAGGCTTCTTCAGCCTGAGTTTCATTTTCTTTTAGTGAAATCTGGAAAGTCAAAGATCGAAAGATTCTTCAACATTGTATTTGGAGAAATAAATTTACAGTATCTAGGACAATCTAACATAGCTTTAAAATTGTCAAATATTTAACAAACAAATGGCAAGAGAACAATTGAAATCTCTGAATTTTATGAACTTACTTTCACACCCTCTTTTCTACAAGGAGGTCGTAGAACATTTTAGAGAATTTTGGGGAATATTTGACACGAGTGAAAATAAAAATTGTGACCAAAATTTGTAAATCAATAGGATATGAATTTTTCATCCACTTTTCAATATAAACCAAAATCACATACCCATCTAAACCTGGTTCACCGGGTACACCATCTCTACCATCCAAACCCGGATTTCCTGGAAGTCCTTGATCACCTTTTGGACCTAATTTTTCGTTTTAAATAGAATCGTTATTAAATTAAAAGCTTAATTAATTGAATAAATAATACCTCTCGGTCCATTTGGACCTTCTCTTCCATCAAATCCTGGTGGTCCTGGTATTCCAACATCTCCTCGATTACCTTTGTGACCTGGTACTCCTGGCAATCCAGGTGGACCTAATCGGAAGATTTAAACAATTAAATTTATATTTGATTCAAAAGTTAAATGAAAAAATTTTGAAGAATTACCTTTGGGGCCTGGTGGCCCTACTGGTCCAATAGGACCCGGTGCACAATATTCTTTAACTTTTTTACAATGATCTGTTACTTGTTGTTGCTTTAAGGTAAATAAAAATAAAAGTTTCTCTTTTAATTTTCCATAACTTAAACTAGTTTTATTAAAAAAATTATGAAAACTACGAATTTTAAGAACAAGTCCTTTAGTAAGTCAAAACAAAAAAAGTTTTGCTTCGATAAGAATAACCGATGTTCCTTTAGTTCTCAAATACAAAAATTTTCAAAATCCAATTTATTTACAGGTAGTACATACATACATCAAATTTCTATACTCGTATTAAAAGTTTTTCTAAAAATCATAAAGTTTTTGTGTGTTCTAAAACTATAACTCATCTCTTCAAGTTATTCAAATAAAGATTTTCTTCATGCTTCTGTATGTAACAAGTTTCACATATACCATCAAAGTCAGCATTTGTTGAACAGGAAGAATTACATTCATTAACTATATGTAATTAACCTTTTTTTTTTCAAGGTTATTTAAAAGTTATCTCATATTTCTTTGAGAAATTCCAATCCAGATAGCATATAGTTATGTATGTACATGTATATACTAATCTCACCCCATATCAACGACATTGTGTATTCCGTATTCCAAGGAAAAAGAAACTAATATAATATTTTGTAAAACTTTCAACATAATTTTCATTTTAGAGAGGATTATTTTGCATCAATAAAGTTTTTGTCTAACCTAGAAATTTTTCAACCCTGATTTTCCGCTGAATTCCTTTCACAAAAATATAAATTATTTCTGCTAAAAAGAGCATAATTATGTATAATAGAAGACTGTAACGAGTTCTCATTAAAAAAAAGCAATAGCAATAGTAAACAATAAATACGGTTTTTACAACTCTTGCACAGTGAATTTATTTCATATATTTTTGAAATCCTGATGAAAATGTTGCGAAAAACATAATAATTCAACAAATTTATAGCAAATCAATGGTATGTTACACAGCACATTCGTGTTAACAATCTCAGATGCTAATAACTTAAAAATATTATGTACAATTTAAATAGATTTATGGAGTCTCTTGATAAGAAATGAAGTAGCTTTGGTTTTGTCTACCATTCCGAACTTCGCCTTAGAAACAAAAATTTTATTGCAAGATTGTCGAAATCTAAGATTTGGCTGACTATGTATTTTAAGGACTTACACAATTTATTGCACCAAAATTGTGTTGACAAGCTCGTTACAAGCAAATATTTTACATTCACGCGACGCGTTGTACATATTCTACTTTTTTCTGACATTTAAAAAGGATGCAATATTTTAATGCAAAATGTTCTTTAGGTAAGAAAGCATTTGCTATTTAAAATGTTATTACAGAAATTTTTTGAATACAAAGGTTGAAAATGTTAAATTGAAAAGCAAATTTTCTATACCCTGCGATCCTTAGCTATATAACCTTTTGAAGGAGTCATCTGCTGAATAAATATGTAATTCTTGTTTAGAGTGAAATTCTGCCTTATATTATAAATGTCCGTCCGTTAGTGTAAAAACACGATATATTAATAAACGAAAACAATAAACACTACCAAAATTTTCACATATTCTACACAGTCAATTAAGATTATTTGACTTTACTTATGGTTTTTACTTATGGTTTTTAATAATTTTAAGAATATGCTAAAAATAAATTTTTTTAATTTAATTAATGTTACATTACATATGTATATCACATTAGAATACAATTTATATTTGTTGTGCATATTATATTTAACATAATTAAAAAATATTTTTTATTGAAAACCACAATATTTTCATCATTACATAAAATTCCAAAAACGAAAAATATGAAAAAGAAGAGCGGAAATGAAATATTTTTAGAAACTACTTTCATGTGTCGCTCATTTTTTACTCAAATATCCCAATGACATTTATTAATATCCCCCACATTTGCTATAATGCTGTATTTTACATCTACTATATGCTAATAAAATTGAAAATGAAAGTACACCTCTTATTTACATAAATTTTCTTATGTATAAGTAAGTTGGCTGTATTCAATGTGCGTAATATTAGAAATATTTCAAAAATAAGGTCACAGTCAAATACTCGTATTTCTCTCAAAACAACAATGGAAGTATTGTGGCACAAATATTTAAAAAAAATATTTTCATTTTTATTTTAATGACTTCTGTAATAGTTGATAACAAATTACTGTGATTGTTAATTTTATTGAGATAATATTGAGTGCAAGCGTTGTATATGTATATATACATATATATATACATATATATATTGAATTTTTATTCAATATAGACGATTAGATAATATTGGTTTTGTGTCTAGTTCGAGCGAATATTTTGTACAATTGAAAATTAACAATACCTAAAGTACTTCTTGAAATTTCAAAATAAAAGTGACTTGGATTTCTATTGTTTTATAAAGTGAAAACTCTTTTAAAGAACGCTTGCATTCTATAAGAATATAATTTTAGTTTTCTGAAATACTAAGAAAGTAAGTCGAAAAAACGTGTAAGTGAATTAATTTAAAAATTTTGGTTACTGTTAAAATTTTTGAATCTATTATTTGGTAATAAGTAAAGTTTAAGACCTATTATTGTTGGCTAAAACAGTCTTTGTTTCTAGTAGGTAAAGGTACCATTAAACTGATGAAATGTATTTGGTCTAAAGTTATCATATGACGCAGACCAAAATCATTCATTTAATTTTCTTTGAAAATTAAATGAATAATTGCCCTTTGTTCCAGTTTCATTTCAGTTTGAAGAAAAATTTACAGGTGATTGCCCACAACCACTTTGTACAAGAACACCAAAATACCATATAATTACAATAATAAAATTTAATCTCAAATAAATCATAAAGTTATTTAAACTATGATAAAGTTTCAGACGTATCATTAAAAACAAAACTTGTACTTATATAATATTTATGTATGTGGAATGGAAACTATCCAATTAATTTGAAAATAAATACTAGTACAAATGACAAAATATATATACATCAACTTTAATACAAAAGTTAAAAGAAATTTTCATTTTCCACTTACCGGCACTCTACTAAATGTTGTTAAATAAACCCAATCGTCACCATTTGGTGCAGTACCTTTACCAGTTCGTTTTTTCTCTTCAATATCCTGTTCTTCTAATTCTTTTCTATAGCTTGGATGAAAGAATTCCGTAACCTGTCCATGTTGTACTATGAATTTTTTTAAATAAAATTAATTGAAATGTAAAATAATATTGTTTAATGTAAAAATTTTTTGAGTAAAATTCGTTAAAATTGAAAAGAAAATTTTATTTTCTGTAAAAAAAAAACAAGTATATAAGTGAGACAGGTAAAATGCAACTGAAGAATAAAACCTCATTCTACGTAATGGAATCGATTGACTTAAAAAAAAAACCGAAAAGAAATATAATCAAACCACAGGTTTGTAAACAAGCACATTCCCTACTAAATATTTAAATTAGCAATTAATATTCTTGAGAATAAGCAAAAAATTCTTGAGAAAAAGCAAAATCTTATAAGTGCATTCAATTAAAATTAAAACTTTTTAATATGTGAACATTTTATTGCACATTATATTCAGGACGAACACAAAAATTACACAAATGATTCAGTGGAAAGTGCTTGATAAATTAGGTAAATGAGTACTTTTCAATAAGGAGGAGGTTATTGGTATGGTTAAACATTGATATTTTTTAATTTGAGTGGAAAATAGGGAAATTTTCCATTTGTCTCGAAAAAAAAAGTGATAAACAAATTTCTAACTGCAAAATGATATTAAAACTTTAAACGATTAAGTCGGAAAATTGCCTTAAAATTTTTGAGGCAGCAAATCGGCAATGAATTGAAACTAGGTGAAAATTTTGTTTTAGGAAATAATTTTTTCATACAATTCCCTACAAAGCTCCATATTTCCATTCTACTTGTATGAATATTAGATCTTTGAAAGATACTCATAGATGAAACAACGGACAAACAAAGTTGAACTAATAAACACACTTCTTTCTTATTTTGTTCAAAATGTACTACAAATAAAATGTAATGTACTTAAGAATATTTAACAGATAATTTGTATTTTTTTTTATTATTTGCAAAATGAAAAAAAAAATTACAATTGTATTTTTATTCAAAAGTGAATTATTCATTAAACAGGTGGATAAGAAATTAATTTAGAAAATAACTTGGGTATAATTTTTGTTGTTACTGTTTTTGTTATTATTTTTTATTACTTGTAATCCCCTTTTACTTTTCAATTTAAGAATATGTCTTTTTAGTAGATTGCAAAGACGAACTAATCAATTTCAAATGTAAGTGGAAAATTCTTAATTGAAAAGGATATCGTATATGGTATGGCATTATGTAAACGTTTTTGGTATTCGGAATTTGTAAAAAATGAGGACATTATTATAAACATAGATTTACTGAAGAAGAAAAAAAATTATTCTATTTTAAGTAATATTTATCTGAAATGGAATAAAATCTATTTTCAATTACAATATTGTAAAAGGTTTTTAAAAGTATACAAATAGTATTTAAGAATTCTTATTTAAACATGGTGTTGAAACAACTATTTATTTAGAACAACTTTTTAACATGATCGAATTTTCATATATCAAGATCATGTCGCTTGTATCATAAACAGATACTTTGTCATTAAAACTACGCGTTCATTAAAATTGATATGTGCGTCATCGTAATCGTTTTATACAGGATGATTCAGAAAGATATACAACAACATTATACCATTGATTACAGGATCGAAGATGGGTAAAACTTTTGTTCCACAATGTGTGCCAAATCTCAAGGATTTCCGAGTTCCAGGGATTTTAACGAATTTTCAAAAAAATTTTACTTGGATTTTTTGGATTACAACTTTCATTCTGAAAAAGATAGGAACTTCAGAAAAACAGTTTCTGAAGGGCCTAGTAAAGGACCCTAAAATATGTTTTTGCATTTTATGTGCCTTCGGAATACCATGCATTCGAATTTTAGGGAAAATCAAATTTTTTCTCAGGTTTATTTTTTCAGTTTTTTCTAATAGAAAGATAATTTCGTAAGAAATTTTTCGAAACCTTGAAATTTTTTCTATAGAATTTAACCCATACACTCAAAAAAATTTCACTATTTTTTTAATAAATCGATTGTTAAAAAGTTTATTAAAAACCTTAATAATCATTTTTATTAAAATAATATCATTTATTATGAAAGTAATGTCATTTGTTATTATTTGAACTGTAAAAGATTATCTTTTTTATAATCGCCCATTCAAACTTACTTTTAAACAACAAAATTTTTAAAATAATCACGGGAGTTTTTGAAATAATAAACGTTATTATTAAAACTATGTAAAAAATTATCAAATGTACAACCTTCTCTGAAATAGTCTCTGAAAATATTACTTTTAATATAATAACAAAAATTGTTAAAATTTGTTATTAAAAAAAAAATATTTATTATTATTTTGATCACAAAAATTGTTATTTCGATCGCAAGTCATAGAATTAATAATAAGAATTATCAGTATAACGTTACTTCTTGTTAAAATTAGAATCGATTTTTAAAATAATAGTCAATTTGTTCGTTTAATAATTTTTGCAATAAAATTTTCGAAATTTTTGAGAGTGAGAGAATAATGTAAATTATTAACAAGAGATCTTTCGAGTTTTTTGAGCAATGTAGGTTTCAAGTCATTAATATAATAGCATTGCTTATTACTCGAATAACAAGTTTATTATTTTTGTTGAAATGTTATAATTTTAATAAAAACATTTATCAAAATAAAAATAAAAGGAAAGAGTTTTGCAAATTTCTCATTTAATATTTTAGTAGTCATCTAGAAGCAAAACAAACAACATATTCTCTATTGTTGCAGTAACAATTGTGAAACTTTAAATAAAATTCAGTTCTATTTGTCAAAAAAAAAATTAGTGAGAATTTTAAAGTATTTATAATATCAAATAAAGAATAAAAAAATAAAATAAGTTATAAAATAGAATAAAATAAGGAAAATGTAAAATTAAGGAAATTTTTCAAGGTAAGTTAATAAACGAAAATTTTCGTAAAGATTAAATTAAATTTTTTGCTTTTTTTTCTTGTTGAATATGTGTATACCTAGAAGCAAACATAGATGTGCAAACATTTTTACACTTGCAACCACACCATATTCAATTTTTATTTGAGACATACAAGTATATACCATTAGGAGCTAAAGTGCTTTTAGAAGAACGCATTTTTGTTTGGCAAAAAATTGAAAGTAAGTTTAAACAATTTTTTCTATCAAAAAGAAATTAATTGGGAAAGTTAATTGTCATTGTAATACTTAAATTTAAATTTCAGATTATTCAATTCAACATTTTAATACAAGGGCTATTGATATATGCTTCAAATTATTTCATGTTTTTCATCTTAAATATACTCAGCCAGCATCATTATTCTGGACTTTTCTTCAAGAGTTTTTTTTAAGAATTAAAAGAAAATAACGGAATCCAACAATAAAAAATTTAAAAAATGACCTACAACTCAATAAAAATTTATCGCGAACTTAAAACAATAAATATATGTAATCAATTTATTAATTAATTTAGATGTAAAAAATAAATATTACAGAGCTTAATATTTTTGTATGTAATGAATAATATGAAAAATGAAATAGTGTCATGAATTAGTTCATCAAAATGATGAAAAATAAAATTTGGTTAAATTCAGTTTCAAAGCATAACTATAATGTTTTATTTTCCAACTTAGAAAGTTATTGTAAAATTATTTATTTAATAAGAGAAATTGTTACTGTAAAGATAGTAATTCGATGGTTATATTAACGATACTTATTACTTTCAAAATGAATTGTTGTTGATCCTGGTAAATAAAAAAAATGTTAAATTTTTTTATGATAAAAAAGATTTTAACAAGATAATAATTTGAATGTGGTAATAAAATTATTATCTCTTGATAAAAATTTTTTTAGCATAGAATAAATTTGTTAATTTTTTTGTTCACTAGGCAATTTAATTTCATAATAATAAATATTGTTAATAAAATCAATGAATTATTAAATTAACAGTCACAATTCCTTTTATTAAATCAATAGTTTTTACTATTAATATCACCCTAACTTGCAATTAATTTAATAGAGAGTATTGTTAAATTAACAATTGCTACTGTTAAAAAAATAATCTTTTTTTATTAAATTGACATTTTGGCCGATCAATTTAATAAATTTCTTTGTTAAAATTAGTAATTTTATTATTAAATCCATAGTAGGTGCTATTAAACAGATAGCATCAATTTTTAAAAAAATAGTATTTATTATTAAATCAATAGTCTTAAAAAATTAAAATAAAGTTTTTATGCATTAAACTAATAATCATTGTAATTAATTTACAACAACAACACTTAAATTAAGTTCTCTCTCATTTTTCATTCTCTCTCTTCTAAAGTGTTATTATTTTAATAATTCGCTATTAATTTGATAGTTATTCATTATTGGATGTATTTTAATGACATTTTTATTAATTTGATATCAATTTTATTAAAATAATAGTGAAAATTTTTTCAGTGTAGGTATTTAAGCTTTAATTTGAGTCCTCAAACATTAAAAAAGTTGTTGTAGTACAGAAGATGTAGCGCCAAAACCATTTTTATGTAAAGATTTTAAAGACCCTTAAAGACAAGGATTTTAAGCGTTGTAATTATTAAGTATCATTAATTTCTGGTGAAAAGAGTCACTCGAAAAAACAGTTGACATTTTGAAGAGCCGTGATTTTGGTAAAAAATCTGCATTTTAATGTTTTTATTGAAATGTAAATAAATAATAACAAAATTGAAACGAAATTTTATACAAACTTTTAATTTGAAAAACAAAAATTGAATTTAAAAAATTTAAAATTTTTGAAATGAAAAACTAGAATTTTGTATTAGGAAAAATAAAAAAAAAATCTAGTAATCAAAATTTTTTTTCGAAAATTTTCTTGGTAAAAAAAATTGATAGGTTTTTTATTTTTGCCAATTTTCATAAGAAATGGTACCTATATGGTTTGAAATTTTTAAATGCATTCTTCTCAGATTGGGTGCAACTTAAAAATTTGCAAAAAATATTTTCAAAATCTAGAGACCATTTGGCATCTGAAGTTACTAAAATTATCCAGCTGGAGCGAATTTTTAGAGACATGCCATATAAATTTTGACATTTATTTTAATTGAAAAAAATTTTTTTTAATATTAAAATTTAATTTTTTTGAACAAAATGGAGTATGTAAATGATATGGTATTAACATTATGAAGTTAATAAATAATTAATAAATAATTTAAGGGAATTAATAATTTTTAAATTTATTTCTAGAAAAACTAAAATTGATGTACCGCAGATGTAACTAAAGAGATGTTCCAGTAAAGCAATTAATTTAAAATATGCGATTGAATAGAAATAGATTCAAAAGAAGAAAAACAGAAATTTTTTTCCGAATTAAGTGAACTTCATAAGAAAAGTTGCTGTTTGTTTTGAGAAAATTGTAAATTTTTTGGATAAAGGAATATTAAATTGAATTTAATTTTAGTTTTATCAACATGTGGTTTGATTTCAATTAAATTTTTGGCCCACAATATTTGTGGTTTTTGTGCTATATCTTCTGTACCATGAAAATTTTTTTAATGTTTGAGGATTCAAATTAAAGCTTAAGTAGCTAAGCTAAATTCTATAAAAAAAATTTCAAGGTTTCGAAAAATTTCTTGCGAAATTATCTATCTATTAGAAAATACTGAAAAAATAAAACAGAAAAAAAAATTGATTGATTGGCCCTTTACTAGGCCTTTCAGAAACTGTTTGTTTGAAGTTCCTATCTTTTTAAGAATCGAAGTTATAATCCAAAAAATCCAAGTAAGAATTTCATAAAAATTCGTTAAAATCCCTGAAACTCGGGAACCCTTGATACCTTTCAGAATCATCCTGTTTACTATGGCTTTGACATCACCTAGCCTTTGTTATTGAATAGCGGTTACCAATATTGACAGACCATTGTACGCAATCGTATAATATTGAATACTGACTTCTCTCAGAAAATAATTAGATTAATACTTTAAAATCGCTAATTGATTTTAATTAGTGAATTAAAATTTCAATTAAGTCTTTACATCAATACCTAAATCAATGATATTTGGTTAACCTTTACGTTTTATTTGAAGAGGCTTATATGTCCTTATATTTATTCCGAATGATTGACCATTATAAATTAAATGAAATAAAAAGTCAATAATTTATACAAGATATTTCTGCTGAAAACTCAATATTATTCAACCTGCCTGATTGAAAAATAAATTCTGAGAAAAGAATCATAAATTATTTAACATAATCTGAGGATATTTTCGACAAATTTCTTTTACAACGAAATGAACAAATTCATATATTGGTCAACAATACAAATTTATGTTCCATTGTAATATTTTTTACAATTGAAAAATTTTGCAAACTAGGATGCAATAAACTCATACATATGTAATTCAACATAAAAGAGAGAAATTGAAATGAAGTTCAATTTCTCTGTTCAATGATTTTATAAATTTCTCTATACATGTACCTTGAAAAAATCCAATTTTACAAGCGAAAACTTTAAAACTTTAAATACAACTGTTATGGTCGGAATTTTTCTTTTGCATTTAATCCGATACCATGTACATAATTACAAGCCCTTCAGCTCCCCCCTCGAATTAGAATTTGAGTTCAAATAAATTTTTTTTTTTAATTTTGTCCTTTTTCTTTTCAATTTCTTTGCCCCTTTATTATGTATGAAACTTCTACCATATTAGAATTTAGTTTATTGCAAAAATGAAAAAAAAAACAAAATGGTTATGAATAGAATACAAAGCGAATAATAGACTGAAAATGCGGCTTTAAACAAAATGGACTTTTTTTCATCTTACTTTTTTTCTTTGACAACTGATGAAAAACTGTATAATTAATATAAAAAAAGTTGACGTGTAATAATTACAGGATGACCTGTATATAGTGTGTGTGTACATACACTTTTTGCTGTATTAAAATTTATTATTAAAAATTCAAACAATGCTGAGGTTCAAAATATCACATTGAATGTTAAGTTACGAGATAATGGTAAAGAAAGAGTAATAAATGAAATTTATGGTAATTTTTAGAATCGTAAATTCTGAAAGATTGACTGAAAGAAAGACTTTTACATTGCACAAAACTGTTATTAGGTTATTCGCTTACGTTCAAAGCAAAATTTAACTATTAAATTCAATCGTAAATCAAAATTTTTTATTTAAAATTGTAAGATTTACAGCAAAAAACGCTTTATTAAATGGAAGCTTATAGTTTTAACAAATGGTAGAGATGAAAAATTCGGGTTACGTTTTACGGGTACAAAGTTATTGTGAAAAATGTTCTAGATCTATAATTCCATACAGATCCGTATAATTTAATAAAACTTAAAAAGAAAATTAGTGTATAATCTGAAATTTTATATTTCGTTGCACATTAAGTATTCAAAAATTTATTCCACAATATAAACTTGACTGAAATATGAATTGAAAATTTTAGTTATCAATTTCTGAACTTCAACTTCATGATATACATATGTCATATGAGAACCAAATTCCTCTTTGATTCAACTGCATATAAAACAAAATCCTTTTAACGCCACAACCAAAATGAAATGTTTAAACATGGATTTTCAAAATTCTTTTTATTTGTTTACCATAGCAACATTCTTAAGACTATAGAAGCATAGTATACAATGCACTGTAGTGATATGCAACATACATACGAGTACGAAGAAAAGAACAAGAAACTGAAAAGATGATGTGCATAAAATGAAAATCTTAAAGATTTCTCTCTTTTCAATAGTTTGCAACATTCACATAATAATCTTATTCTTGTATATACATATATATTTAAAATATACTTACAATTATGTGCCGAAGAAACATCCCTTTTTCTTAGTTTACTATTTAGATGGCTTTTGCTTAATAATATAGGATTATTACTTTTAATGGCAAACCTACTTCTGATATTAGCATTAGTAGAACGTTTCCTTTCATTCTTAACGATTTCTCTATCATTATTATTCTTTGAATCGTTGTCACCATTATCAACAACACCACCACCACTGTCATCATCATCATCATCATCGTAAGGCATCTTTGTGCTATTCAAAATAAAACAAAAATAATAATAAATATAAAAGAAAAGGAGATTATTTTTTTTTTTTTTTAGTTTTTCATTTTGGGTTTTTCTTTTAATTTTTGTTTTATTTAGAAATGACATTGAATGAAACTAAATTAACATAATCTACATATTTTTTTTTGTTTGGGGAAAGCAACGGGTAAGGTGAAATAAATGTTGTGAACAATTTTAATGTACCATAAGAGTTGAATATTTTTCACTTTAATTTGGAGAAAACGAGAATGTGAAATCAAAATTTAAATCTAAGCAGATTTGATTTGTTAAATGTTGATGGTTTACTCAAAATAACAATTGCCTCGAAAATTTTCTCAAAAAATAGAGAAGCTTATGTTATAGAAACAACTTCGGGCTAATTGCAACTCATACGAGCAGAAACTCGTACAAAACTTTCAAATTCTCAACATTATTTTGTAATTCTTTTAAATTACGTTGGTTTGATCACTCTTTTCGAGAGATTGCTAAGTATATTTGTTTGCATAAATGTTGTGTTCAAATTTAATTAGCATAGTTTTTAGCACTTTTCGAAAAAATGTTTTTAAAAAAAGTGCTTATTAGTTTCACTCTGTCCGTCTGTCTGTTTACAAAACTTCTACACCCATGAAGATAGAAAGCTGAAATTTTATACGTACGTAGATCTTTACTAGAAACCCTTTCCCCTCTAAAACCCTAAAAACACCATATTTTAAACTATTTATTGCAAGCAAGCCATAAACATTTTTCAAATTTTGCAAAAGCAAAAAAATAGTACCTGGATTCTTCTATCGCGGCATACCATTTCTGAACTTTAAAAAAACAAAATGGCAGTTAAAATTTACCGTTATCTAAAATGCGTTTTTTCCAAATTTTTGATGCCGTTTTTCTTCTACACCGTACGTTACACGTGTCTGAAATTTTAGCAGCTTAAATATTCATAAATAGTTTATTTCATTAGAAGAAAATTTTTTCCCATCTCCACCGCCTCTCAAGTTATCACCTCTCGAAATTTGCAAAATTTGAATATTTGGCACCTTATATTTTACCAACTTTATTCATTATTCTATATTAAATTATAATTTTGAAAAGAACTTTAAAATGGCATTTCTAAGTAAACATTCTGCAATTAACGGAGGATTAATTAACACGTTGACAACATTCTACAGTCGGATTGAAAATCAAAATATATTCGAATTTTAATATATTATGTATGTAATATAGAAATCTAAGCGACGTAATTTTTGTCTAGGACAATACACAGATGAAAGCCTAAAAATATTTGCCAATAACTTTTTGATTAATAGAAAATGCAATTATGGCTGATGATTTATTGAATTAGAAAATTGATTTATTCACAATACTCAGTTGAAATTTAAAGATTGAAATAAGTAGGTATGTCCAGAAATGGCATTATTTATTAAACATATTTCATAATATTAAGTAATATATTCAATTACCGTTACTCCCAATCATTTTTCCGTGAGAGCATTACAAATTCGCTAAAAATTATTAATTTAAAAACATCATGGATTACCCCAATAGAAGTTGTTCAGTAAAATAAAAAAAAAACTTAATGCAAAAACGCCCAAAAACCATATTGCTTCCAGTTAAAAATTCACAAAATAATAGCTATAGAAAATCCTGCATTATGCTACCTAGAAACTTTTGTATTCATATTTTAACCTTCAACCTTATACACTCTAATTACAATTTTTATTAATGTGTGAGCGATAAATTATGTCAAATTTCTAATATTCTTACTTCGTTCATATTCAAATTTACAATACAAATTCTTCCTTTAGAAATAAAATGTGAATTATTCAAAGAAAAAATTTTATAAGAATTTAAAAAAAAAAATGTCTTCCAAGAAAATAAAGAAAATTAATATTTTCATCACTTTGTAATTATGTTACCCCTTTTTTATAATCTGAAAGAGGAAACTGAAACTGAAAATTAAAGAGACATTAGGGAAAAGTCATTATTCATTTATTCCATCCTGTAATAAAAATTTGTGTGTACGCTTATTCATTAAAAATAAATTTTTTTTTGGTAATAAATTTGGAAATTTCAAATGATCAAAAAACATTTAAAATATAAAAGAAATTTACACACACACATACGTGTATATACAAAAGAAATTTTATAAGGATTATATTGCAAAAACAAAAGTTGTTTCTATAATTCTAGTTGTAAAATGTCTTAAAAAAAGGTTAATAAAAAGAAAGTCAAGGATTTTTCCATTTAAATATAATATTCCTTTGAGATATTAACTCAAGAATTATAATTATAATGGTTTAGGCTTGTAACATTGATGTCTCACAAGACATTAATCATTATCGATTAAGTCCAATTTAAGATCACACACATAAGTATATGAATTTTTAATAATTTCAATAATGTCCTTGTAATATTTATAAGGCTTAGTGTGCATATACTTATACATTTATGAAGAAAATACCATTGAGAATATTTGATAAAATAAACATACACAGTTGTAATATTAAAATGTATGTATATAGTAAATATAAAATCTTTGAAATTTGGTTTTAGATGTAAAAATAATTTGAATTTGTGGTGTATACCATATAGTTTATGGTTTATAATTTTGTGGTATTTCAAGAGTAATTTTAATAAATTTTGCCATAATTGTAATTATTGAATATTAAAAATAAATACAATAAGTTACGAAAACAAAACGTGCCACATGCAATTATACAAAAATTTTTAGAGATTTGAAAAAGTTTTACGAATTACAAATTATGCTTTGTTAACAATAAAAATAAATATTTAAACAGGGCCATATTGCACCAACCAGCTCTAGGTTTTGTTTTTAATCAATTAGTCAAAAAAGTTGCAATATTTCTGTTGTACCAAGAGTCCAAACCCTAAAGAAGTAAGAATTATTCTACAAAAAGGATTGCTAAAAAGTGGAAGTGTTTGGTGTAATCGCCTCCCAGATACCAAAGTTTGAAAGCAGGCATATATTTATTGAAATAGAGTGCCTTGGCATCATGCATAATTTTTATGATGCCCAAGTAGGGTCTCCTTTGACTTTGTGTACAAATATTTAGTATGAAATTAGCTAGCTCTTTTAAGAGTAGAAGTATGAATTGAACACTACAACGTGTTATAAGTAAATGGATATGATGCTTAAAGAAACATTCTCAATTTTTAAGAACTTGAATAAATTTCACTACATTCTTTATATCTCTATATTAAAATAGCTTAGCAGGTTATAAAAACTTTTAATCTGCTTTTCTGTTTCTGATCTAATTCAAGTATATTTCATCATTTCTAGAAACTAAATTTGCCTTAAGAAATTGCACGAAACAAGATCTACCACACTTTTAGTGCAAACCATTAAAGCAGTCTTTTTTTTTGTTATATAAAATCTATCTTTAGGTTAAATTGAAATATTCATCGTCGGATGTAATAAAATTTTATACATATAAACAATCTACCCGATAACAAAAAAATAATGAAAGACAAAACGAATAAAATTTCTTTTATTAACAATAAAAAAGAAAGCAAAAACTTTTTATCGAGACAAATCTAATTAGGAGCTGAAAAAAGGAAAATAATACGAAAGACACCAACGCAAAATTGATTAAAAAGTCGGATGAAAGAAATGAATTTAATGTGAACAACGTATTTATGCCCGACCTCAATGTATAATTTTCCAATGAAAACATTAGTATTGGTTTAGCGAAACATTGGAAGAAGAGGAAAATTTTCAATGGAAATTTTTTATAAGTTTCAAAGAAATTGTTAATTTTGGTAATTAAAACATTGCGAATCAAAAATACTTCCCAATGTTAAACTGTCTCATATGGGGAAAATATGGACCACCCATGAACCGTAAATAGATAAAAAAAAAATCAGTCAATTTTCGCAAACCGATTTCCTTACAAAATGCATTAATATTTCACCCAAGAAGCTAAAATAAAATGGATATAATAAAATTTCTTTATTTATTTTTTAGATGTGGTATAAAAGAGCGGGAATCATACCAAGAACTCAGTTTCTAATAAAGATTTACTTATTTGTATACTTGACAATCGAACCTGAGCAATAATATATAATAGATTTAATGAAAATTTTAAAAAAGTTTTTTTATAATCAATTTCAAGAAATTCCATCAATTCGTTCCGTAGATATGATAAAAACTGTAAAATTAGTTTCCAACCAAATCAGTTTCTGAACCCTGAACTTTTCAAAACATTTATAGATTCATTTTTTTAATACCTCGAATTTAAATATTAAATTTTAATGAAATCGTTTGATTATTTCTCTTTATATACGTAAAAATGTATATTTGGCCCGTAATAAACGTACAGCTGCTGACAACTGATTTCTTCCAAAAGTTAGGAATCCAACAAACCGACACCTCTCTATAAAAATAGTCTATTTACGCTTCCCAATTATGGAGAAGTGAGTTCCCATCGAAAATTCGATATACAAAATTTGGTGTCATCACATAACCTACTTTATTGTATAAACAATGCGGTCGGTAAAAATCACTTGTTCTATGGTTTCTCTCAGATTTAAGACAAAAAATTATAATTATTCTTCTTAATATTTAAAATATTTTAGCACATAATAATCTGATACAATGCTTCATAATAATGTGCTATAAATCAATGTCCTCGTACCATTTAATTTCACAAAGTTTTGTACAGTTTAAAAATTTTAAAATCAGTTCATCTTTTAATGCTAACTAGAGTGTAAGAAGATCTCACACTTTCTTTTATATAAATTTTGGATAATCAGGCCAAGCTTTAGTATTTCACTTTTTGATTACTTCACTGATGTTGATCTACATAAAGAAACCAAGTTTTTTTTTAAATTTTCATTAAAATTAAAGATTAAGAAATGGAGTGGCACTTTAGTATTATGTGAGTTTTATAGAAATTTTATTATAAACACTTATGATTGCAACACTAAAATCATATGCAAGTCAATTCTATTCAAAATATTTAAAGGAATTAAGAAGGAAAAGAGCAAATAGAGCGAGAAATGCAATAGGAGAAGAAATTAATTAAATAATAACCTAATAAATTAATGCGAAAGAATGTGAAAGCACGTTTAAAAGAATGATAATATTGTCAAGAGCAATGTCATAATAATTGCTGGTTAAATTTTAAAAGTCTAAACTATTGACATAATCACGAGCTACCATTTTGAGAGCTTTCCTTTCTTATTCATTAAAAGCCTTCTTACAATCTTACAAATTCAAGCATTATGAACACGTTTAAACGTGAATTGGTAACAACTTCCATTGGTTTAAAGTGTGAGTCTGATTTGAGGTTTAGTTTGTTTATTTAGCAACGAAGTCCCTTTATAACCAGAGGAATATTCATAGCTAGAGAAACATTCATAACTACCCGTTTTTTTGGTAACAAATATCGTATAAAAAGCTAAATATCGTTTTACTCCTCTTCAAAAAGAATTTTCCTCTTCTTATTTTAGGTTTAATAAATATTCGCATAATTGCGATTTGCACTTTGATAAACCATTCCTATTCCATATAGAATCCTTCTTCTTTCCTAATCAAAAAAATTTACCATAAATCTTTCTTTGTTTTTTTTTTAAGGAATTCAAAAATGTTCAAATACAAAAATTTTCATTAATCAATTTCTGCAGAAATGTCAAAACCAAAAGAAAAGAAAAATATTCATCTTTTTACCTGCTTTCAACATAGCAGTCAAAAACAAGGTTACAAATTAGTTTTCACCTGACTTTAGTTACCCTTAAGAAGAAGAAAACAAACAAAAAAATTGAATTATAGTTTATTTCTTGTCTTTCTGACACACAAAAAAAAAGGTGAATAATTTCTGTGAATGTTAAACTACTGACATTTTGACATTTCGCATAATTCGTTAACAGATGCATAAGCGTTTTAAGTTATGGAAAAATGATGATTTCCTGTTCCTTAAAAAAAATTTAGCATGCATTACTTTTCTTCTGCATTACATGATGTTGAATTCTTTTCTTTTTATCGTAATCAAAATATAAATTTGAAAATATTTAAAAAAAATTAAAATTTAAATCGTAGTTTAGGTTGAAGTTAGCCTTTCATTATACCCTGCACTTCGTGAAGGGTATATTAACTTTGGTATGGAGTTTGTAACTACTTGAAGGAGTCATCTGCGGTATGGACATATATATACATTCTTGCTCAGCGTAAAATTCTGTGTCGATTTAGACATGTCCGTCTGTCCGTCCGTCCGATCGCACGATAACTCAAAAACGAATAATGCAATCGACACCAAACTTTCACAAGTTTTTTCTTTTGTGCCAAGGACAAGCCCTATTGTTATTGGACCAATTCGGACAACGGGTTCGGGTAGCTGCCATACAACTCAAAGAGTTTATTTTAAATATTTGAAAAACTAATAAAGCTAATAATTACTAATAATTACTAAATATAAAATTTTGTATACACGTGTCCAATTATACTCTACACATGCTCTAAAAATCATAATGGAATAGCTGTACCGGCTCGAGTGGCTGCCATACAACTCCAACAGCAAATTTTTTATATTTGGAAAAATAATAAAGTCATATTCATGAAACTTGGCAGTCATGTGTCCAATTATAGGTCAAATATATTTCTGAAGTTTTAGAGGAATTGCTTGACAGGTTCGGGTATCTGCCGTACAACTACAAAAGCTTATTTTAAATATTTGGAAAAATAATTAAGTCAGATTCATGAAACTTGGCAGTTGTGTGTCGAGTTATAGATCAGATATATTTCTGAAGTTTTGGTTGAATTGCTCTACAGCTACGAGTAGCTCCCATAAAAGTCCAAAAGTTTAAATATTTGGGAAAATAAAGTCAGATTCATGAAACTTGGCAGTTGTGTGTCCAGTTATAAATCAGACATATCCGTGAAATTTCTATAAAATTGTTTCACTGGTTTGAGTAATTGCTATACAACAACGAAAAGTGCAGGGTATAATTCAATCGGTTTATACCGACTGAAACGTTTTTACTTGTTTTAAAATAATTTAATTATGATTGTTAATGAAAATTTATTTCAACTCACCTTTCCAAATTTTTATTGTAATTATCGTATTTAAAATAATTTTTATCAGTCTGATGTAATTGTTGCGCACTATTATAATCATTAATATAATTATAATAATCATTATTATTATTATTATTATTATTATTATTTAATTTCATTAAATCACTATTATCTTTAATAATATCAATCACAATTGTTTCTAAAAAATTTTTATTTAATAATAATTCATTTCGTAAATTTTCTCTAAATTTTAAATCTGTTGATTCTGTTGATGATTTCAATGACGACGACAACAACGATGACGACGACGACGACGGCAACGATGATGGTAAAGACGATGTAATTACTATAGAATTATTAGGATTCTTTATATATATTGTATATAACCATATACCTTGTGTTAATACACACATAAATAATGCTGCCATTAATATATAAATAATAGTAAATGATTTTGAAAATGTTTTTAATTTTTTTTCTAAAATTATTGAATTTTCTTCAGATGATGATGATGAAGGATCACCATCATCATCGTCATCATTATTATCATTATTATTATAATAATAAGGACTATCTGTTTTTGTCGTTGATAAACTTCCATTTTTTAATGACCGTGATTTTGATGGTTTTGTAAGTAATGATGGTGGTAATGTTAAAATACCTAATGATGATTTTATTTGTTCAGAATTTTCTCCATTTGCATATAGAAGTTTTGTTTTTGTTCGACATTTAATATTACATTGACATTTACATTGGCATACCAAACGTTGTTCAATTTTTGATGCATTAGGTGTATCCATTGAAGCTATTAATAAAGTATTATTATCATTGGTTAAACTTAAGATTTTTTTTTGGCTTCCCATTTCATTGAAATTTTTTATATGAATTTTTGATGATTTTTTCTTTATTTCTAATGATGGTTTTTCTTCTAATGAATTTTCTTCCGGTGATGTTGTTAATGATGTTCTATTAGTTTTTATAGAAATTTGTGATGGTGAATTTGTTTTGCTATCATCAGGTGATGTTGCGGATGACGATGACATTGCCGAAAGTAATTCATTGTTTTTTTCTTTTGATTTTACATTCTTCCACATTTGGCTAAATATTGCTAAAAACATTCCAACTTTTCTCTATATATATATGTATAATATAATACTAGTATTATATTTTAATCGTCTATGAAATGAAGATCAAATTTTATACATAACTATGTCTTCATTGTATTTACAAAAAAAAAGAATCTTATTCCAAAGTCAAAAGCAGCAAATTGTAGGCTTACATTTTCGGTTGATAAGTTGACAAAAACCTGAAAATAAATATAAAGATTTTTTATTAATAAAAATGTGAAGAAATTTTAAATATTCTTTTTACTAAAAGAGGATTTACTCAACTCTAAGGAGAGAAGCAAAAGGATGTGATTAAATATTTATAATATTTTTAATTACAATTTAGAAAAATAAAATCACAAATAACATATTTCAACAAATATACAAGAGAATCCAGATTTTTCTTACAGGAAATTTTTGGCAAAACTCACCCGGAAAATTCACCCGTATTTCACCCGCAAAATTCACCCCTAAAGTGAAAATACTTAGCAATAAATAAATTTGAAGCATCGAATTCCTCATTTTAAAGTAAAAGAATATTTAATGTTTTACGCATTGAGTCACGCCTCTAAATTCAATTTAACAATTTTACTTTTAGGTGAGTTGAAAATTGTTTTCTGCCAGTATAGGGAATATAGGGACTACTCACGCAAACTTCAATATTTGTAAAACATATTTAGAATCCTAAACTTAATATTTAAGTTTGATTAATTGTAGAATAAATGAGGAAAAAATCTATAATTCATACGATTCCGAACATTGTTGCAAGTTCACAAATCAATTGGCATAATACATACGTACATACCTACATATTTAATTATTAATAAAATCTTCATTTCACGTTTTTTTTTGTTTTAAGCGAACTTTTCTCTTTACTAAAAAAAAACGAGTGAATAATTAATGAAAATTTTATTATGCATTTTTATCTATATAAGCACGTAAAAAGATAAAACTGTACAAAACTGGCTTTAAACCAAATACAACTAGTTAATATTGGATATGCTTAATTTAAAATCAAAATGATTTAATTATATCCATAAATAGAATTAGTCATACATTAGTCGTATGTAGGTAATTGAGAATTAATCATAGTAATTTATTACTACTTACTAATATATATAATCATATATTAGTAAGCAGGAAATTTTTGTGAGACCATATAAAGCGCAGCATGTTATCTGTTATAATAATAATTACTTATACTGAATTTCATTTCATTTTGGTATATTTGATGTCTATGTCAAGTTCAAGGCTCATACAAATGCATGCAAACTAAAATGATGAAGTGTTTATAAATCAAATAAATTTTCTAACAAGTATGTAGTTTATATTAGAGTGTATAAACACATGAACATATAGTGAATATTTCCTATTAAAAAAGAAAATACTATGGAATTTATTGCATAATTCTTGATTTTGATTTTCTCTAACGCAATTACGTTCATTTTAATAAAACAAGATAAATTTATTTTTTTGAATACATTTGTTTACAATATACTTCTGAAAATTTTAATACATTTGAAGTTTCCAATTTTAAATTTTAAAACTATCAGAAGAGTTGCAACAAAAAGTTTTCACATTCGCTTGAAACGCAAGAGCAATTTTACAAGGCACTTCCGAGTAAGACCATGGTTATATATTTTCAGTTAAATGTGTCTGGGTAGTCTGGTAGTTAAAACGGTTTACTTTGGTGCTAGATTATTAAGTTACTTAATAAGGCGTCTAAATTGCCTGAAACCTCAAAATCTAATCCGCACATTATTAAATTTTATACAAATTTTATTTTAAAAATTATATTGGTATATGAAAAGTACCAACATAAATTTTTCCTCCTTTACTCTATTTGGGAATATTAGAGCCTTCCACTTGGCTTCTAAGAATCATGCATCACTTAACTAAGTCATTGAGTTAACTAGGCAAATCCCTACATTTCCGTAGGTTTTCCTTTATTTTATATTATTGTTTTATTGTTGTTGGTTTTAAATATGGAATATTATGGATATTACGGGTAATAACTTTTATAATAGCATTTTATTTTAGAACCAGTTATTTAGCTATATAATATCAAATATAATTTTAATAGTGACCTGACCAGAATTTCCACAATTTGGTGTGTTGATTTTGCGAAATATAACATTTAAAATTTCCCTGGATTAGTTGATGGTAATTTATATGAAAATCCTCTGCTGTGTGGAATCCTGTGTTATGAATCCTGTGTTATAATAGATGAAAAAATGACTTTATAAATTTAATATTAAAAACTCGAATTTAATTTTCTTTAATTTTACCAGGAACTGAACCCAAGATCCTTCAGTTAAAGGAGCGGTGCCACAACCAGTGATTAACCTACCAAAAGGGCTTTCCAAAATCAAATTGACAGTTCGGTTTACGATTACATAATATTTGATACAACCAAAAATTTTATCGATGTGGTAATCAATTACACATTTTGTATTTACCATCTAGATTATATTTGGAATTAATTTGAATGCTTGCTTTCCAAATTCTACATCAATTTTCTGTTAATTTTACATTTGTACATACGTATAAGTACATATACATGTGGACATGTGAAGATATAGAATTTTATTACAAATTTATATTGACAGTACACTGTGTAAATAAAACTTTTAATTGATTTCATTTAATGATATATGTAAGTAAATGCGTATGTAAATCAACGTGTACCCGTTATTGAATTACATATTATGTATATTTGCTATAACCTACATATATTATTATAAATAAAGTTGGGTCAAACCAATGGTTTGTATTGTAGCACTTTTCCCTTCAACAAGTGAAAATTCTGCTTTTAAATACAGTCTATGCATACCCATCACACTATTAAAACTATTTTCATTCATATATAAAACTATTTCTAGGATTGCCTATATTTAGGATGACGCATATATGCAGTCTTTGAAATAAAGCAAAAATTAATATAAAAAGGGGTTAACATAATGCTCGATTTTAAGGGTTAATTGTGTGAGTTAAGAAAAATAATTATATTTTTTAGTTTCATGGAATTTACCGTTAGGTTTTTGCGTTTATAAAAATTTGAAAAAACTTGCGGTTTCGGAAATATAAGGTGTCAAAAATTCAAATTTTACAAATTTCAAGAGGCGATAACTAGAGAGGGGGTGGAGATGGAAAAAAATTTTCTTCTAACGAAATGAACTATTTGTTAATGTCTAAAAGCCCCTAAAATTTCAAAGCTCTACATTATGGGGTCTAGAAGAAAAACGAGATCAAAAATTTGGAAAAAAAGAACTTTAGATAACAGTAAATTTGAACGGCCATTTTGTTTTTCTAAAGTTTAACTATAGTATACCGCACTAGGGGAAGCAAGTCGCTGCCTTTCTGCGTTTGAAAAATTTCAAAAATGCTTATGGTTTCATTGCAACAAATATTTAAAAAAGGCCATTTTTAGGGTTTTGGAGGGGTATAACTTCTAGAGGGGGGGAGATAGGTAAAAATTTTGTTCTACGGAAATAAGTTTCTAGTGAAGATCTATGTACGTATGAAATTTCAGCTTTCTATCTTCAAGGGTGTAGAAGTTTTGTAAACAAAAAAAGTGTTCACGGACGGACGGACGGACGGACGGACAGAGTGAAACTAATAAGCACTTTTTTCAAAAAATTTTTTGGAAAAGTGCTAAAAATGAGTTTCAGATGACGTATATATAATATTTATGTACATACATGAGTACATATTATGTTGCTATTACTTTAAAATTTAATGTCAACTCAAATTATTTTAACTATTTCAACCTTGGAAATTTTATAAACTGAGACTAACATAAATATACATATTGCGTATGTATGTATGAATAAAAATAGACAACAATTTTTAAGTTTTATGCTCATATTTTATGATTTCGCGTATAATTTTTTTTTTCATTTACATTAATTTTAAAATATAAATATTGTGTGTGCTACTTTATTTATGACATATTTAAAATAAAAAAAAATTTTTAATAACTCTTGTCTTCTTTGTTTTTATGAATATCTCTATAGTAGTATAACAGAAATTACATCACAATTTATTATTTGATTTATTAGCAAGTCTTAAGAATATTTCAAAATTCTAAATATTTTTAATTAGCATTTGGTTAAAAATTAAAAAAGCAGAACGAATAATAAGAAAATCAAATTTTATTTGATAGTATTTTGAAACAATAAACACACATGTACGATAATATAGGTTTGTAGTAGATATTACAATGTGTACATATATAATTAAAATACGAGACAAGAATATATTATTGGAGACGTGGCCATTAAAAATAAATTCTGTATACATACACGAATTGCAACAGTGATGAGGCTTTTTTGTTTTACTATTTCGAATCTTAAATAACTTTCATATTATAAACGCTCACAGAAATAAGATTTTATTTACTCTGACTAACTTTATGTCGTTAATTGGAGCATGGCAATACCATTACTAAAATATTAATATTTAACGAACTTGAGCGTTATTTACTGATCATTGTATGAAAATTTCAGAATTCAAAGCTTCTGTGATTGAACTCTTAAATAATAACATTAAAGTTCACAGCGCCTACGAAAAATTATGTATGTAAAATTGCTATTTAAAAATCGATCTAAAAGCTGTCTAAAATCGATACAAGTACTCAAACACGATGTGTTTAATTTCGGACAATATTATTCAGGCACGATATTATTATTCTTACTTATCTTAATAGGTAACATATTTTTAGTGTTTTTAGAATCACCATGGTGTATGGTATTTCAACAATCAATATTTTATATGAAAGAGTTACAGGAGTGTATAAGAGTTACTGGATTTACAGATCAACCCATTTTTATTAAGTTAAAATAAATTTCTTTACATTAAGATTTTTCTTAGAATATCAAAGAAAATAAATTTATACAAAATAATGTCTACTTAGGAGTATATAAGTTAATATACATAATGTCATTATATTCGAAGAATTTTGCTTTATTCGTCTACTATTATGCAACAGACTTACAATTGACACGTTGATTAGTTAGTTTTTCATAGAAATTTAAGAATATTATCAAGGGCCTTCATTTGTAAAACTGAAAATTTTTTGTACCGCTTGTACAAAAAAGTACGTAATCAGTTAAGCTCACACACATAAATTTAATATTGATGATTTATCTAAGATTTTGATTGATTAACATTTTGATATACAATACAATTTTTAATATAT